TTCTTGGACAGCCAGAAGAGTGACCAATAGAAATTTTGCCAGTTTTATTTAGTAAACTGACATATCGTTCACATGTGTGTAAAGGAATGTACAATCGATTAAAAATTTCCTTTGCATTATGCACTTTTTGGTCCCAAAGTGACTTAACAGAATTTCTTTGTATTTTTAAAGAGTTTGGCATAGTTTTGGAAAGGAAATCAAAATAAAAACAAATAATAAACCTTATTTTTTAACTTACCTTTTTAATTCAGGTTCCAATGTCCGATTTGGGTATATAAATAAATGCCTAAATCCAGAAAGTGGTGAAACCGCAGCCAAAAATAGATGCGGTCTTCCACCACTATTCTTTTCGCTGAGGACTGTATATATATTAAAAAGCTTTACAATTTATAATTTTAGACTTACGCTATTCTTTATCCTCTGCTAAATTCAAAATGGTTATAACGCATAGAAGAAATAATAAAGGAAAGAATAAAAATGTAAGATATAAATGTGTTTTAATATTTGCTCATTCTTGTATTTAATATTTACAATATTTCATAATTATTAGCTCTAACAACTAAAACGAATGATTATAAAAGTCCTGAACCTGATGTCCCTTCTGATGAAGATGAAATGCAAACTAAAGACATCATCACTAAAAAAAATCATCCAAAAAACTTATGATAAAAATTATAAATCTGACGTTTCTTCAGATGAAGCTGAAGCACAAACTGAGGATATCATTACCAAAAGAAGTATCAAAAAACTGTTTCAAAAACTTATGGTAAAAATCATGAACCTGATATCTCTTCAGATGAAGCTGAGGACATTATTACTATCCTGAAAACTTCTAAACTGAATAAACATAAAAATCACAAATCTAATAGCTTTTATTATAAAATCAAATCGCAAGACAAAAATGTAGATAATATAAAAGTTGTATCAGAACATAATATTGTAAAAAAGAAACCAAGAAAAAATGAAGCTTTCAATTTAACTGGCAGCAATAATGATAGTATATACAGGCATAAGTTCATACAATTCATCACGAATTATCAATTCATTTCCTTTACAAGTATTATTAAAATCTACTGACTTCAAAAAAAAACACAATCTATTATTACTTTTTATCATAAATAATTTTCATTACATATTTTAGATATAGTACTTCAGATTGTGAACGATTTGTATTCTTCTACACTAGAAATTACCTTGCAACAATATGAAAGTTTGGATCATGATTATTTATTTACATTATCTGATAAACAACAAACATCAAAATCAAATAATATTGATGATGTTTTAATATCTAATAAACAACAGTCTTCAGCATTAAATTTTACCAGCAATACCAATAACACCACCTCTTTAATTGGTCTATTCAAAAATGATCTTGAAATTTATATGTTTTTCATATATCGGCCAGATCTCATAAATTTAACTTTAAACATGATAAAAGCAAATGGTCACGAATTCACAATTGTTCAAGAAAAACATACCAAATTTAATATACTTTCAGAAAAGGTAAGTTCAAGTTTATATGACTAGCATTTGTCTTATTTATTCAGGAGAAACTTTTGAATAAAGAAGTTATTAATAATATTAAAAATTTAAATTATATGACAGCTGATATGAAAATATTTGCAGCAGATGGAAGAGATGTATTACAACAGTTGGATATTAAATTATTGCTTAATTTGAAATAGATGAATTAACATATGAAAAAAGTTGAAAAAGTTATAATACTATTTTTAACTATATTAACTTTACAGTGATTATATTGTAACAATGATAATTTTATAATAATATCATTAAAACTTAATATACATTCTAATTAGATTATTACAATATTTACAATAATATTACAATGTAATAAATAACATTATTACTATATTGTAAAGATATTAAAATTATATAATTATTATATAGTTTTTATAAATTCTATAAATTACATTGTTATTGTATAATGATAATATTATTACATCATAATAATAGCATAGTTAAAAAAATTTAAGTTTTAGCAAAGTACTGCTGAGAAATCACAGTTTCGTACTGATTGCTTTAGGCAAACATCCAAAGAATTTGAACTTGACTCATCCATAGTATTAGAATATTTGGTGTTTGAATTCTCAGACGCTTCTTGAATGAATTTTTCCCTTTGTTCTTTCTTGCGAAGTGTCTTTTTGTCAACAAATACCTGTTTACCTTTTTAGGAGAGATGGATTCCACTTTTACAAGCTTTTCATCTTGCTTTCTCTGCCTTATCCTATCACTAACAATTTTCTTATTCACTTTATTCAGAAAAGAGTCTATCATCTTTTCCTCTGATAGTTTAATATTTGCGTTATCATTAGGTAATCTATTTATAGGCTGGTTTATTATAGGATCAGGTATATATAGTTGTGACATAGCTGATATCTCTTCTTCTTCAACAGAGCATAAGTTCTGCATGTTAGTAACATGCTAAGGTTGCTAAGGCTTCATAAGGTTGGAGGAATTGAAATCATATCTTAATTTGGCTAATTTAGCTTTAAGTTCAGCATTTTCAGCTAAAATATCTACACTATTTTTCTCCAATTCCTCAATTCTAACCTTGTATTCAGCATTCTCAGTATCACGCTTGGCATTCTCTTCAATAATCTGCCTCAGCTTTGTGTTCTCAGCCTCAAGCTCAATAATACACTATCGTAATGATTTAAGCTTGGATGTTATGATCAATAATATTTTATCAAAGATATGAAATATTCAATATTCCGTTAGTATATATACATTCTGCTAAGAAAAATTGTAGGTTATGAAGTCACTTCCTGAATCAATATCAGGAAGTTTGCCAAAAAAAATTTTTATTAATACATGCGAAAATAAATACAAAGTTCAGGATATAGCCTGCGATACATATTATTTTTTAATAATTTTTTTGATTCTAACCTTTTTGCTAGTGAGGAAACTATCTATACTAATACGATCTTTTAACAATCCTACAATGATACCAATCACCCTTTTTACATTTTTTTAAAGTAAATCAGGATTTTTTTTAATAGCAGATTTCGTGAGATTAATTTAGTATTTGTTTTTACTCGTAGAGTATATACCATTAAAAATATATATAATAAAATACTACTCCGTACCTGTAGTCACAATACTATAGATATAGTTGAAATAGTCATTCCCAAATGCTTGATCCACAGTCTGTTTCTTTTTATTCGTCTGAAATGCTTTATATCTTACTGTTGGAAAAGAAAAAGTTAAGAAAATACAAGATACAATTAGTATTATCATCTGATGCTAAACTTCATGAAAGTATATGCAAATGGAATCTTCATACCTTTTCACATAAAGAGGATTCCAAAGGAATCAGATCTACTGAAAAGACATATAGTTAGTTTCACTTCTGATGATCTCAAAATTTCAAAGTCCTCAATGTTCCATAATATATGTTTTGTCAGCACTATTTGCTTATATAGTAGGTCCTGTATTGCAACTAATCACTCTTTTATATTTTTTCACATATGTTTGAGAAAAAAATAATGAACAAAAGTTAATATGTTTTCTTTTTCAATTATATGTAAAATTAATATGTTAGACAAGACTCTAATTGATGATCTATATTTTCTATTGTACAATTTGGCAGAAAACGCTATGCATGGCTTAGCAAAAAATCTTCTGAGCTGGTAATCACCACTTCACTTGATGATCAGTATTTCAGATATAAATTTAAATATATGCTAGCTAGAGATAAACATAATTATGACAAGTAATACTAATAATAAATTTGTTCAAAGTGAAATATTTGAAAATTAACTATATAAAGTGCTTTTGTATAAGAAGATAGATGTATTAGCTATTCAGGAATGTCTAGCCAAAAGAAATCTTGATATTAATGACAATGCAAATCAAACAGCATTAAATTAAAGCAAGAAAGTGGAAACACTTGATTATATAAGTAGACTATTATTTAATTTGGTGAAGATAATTATATTGATAGAGAAGCATCTTGAGATTGGTGGACACACAACCCTTAATATATTATATTGATATAGAGAAGATCTTATCAATATATTATTAGAAGAATTTTCACTTAGAGAAAAATACCATTTGCTTTTATATCTGAAAGAGGATATAAGTATTATTCAACATTATCTTGGTATTATCAGTTATACTGACGAAGAAACGATAAAAGAAGAAGCTGAGAAAGATGTGAGAGCATATATTCAAAAGTTTAGATGTTCTAAGTGTGGTAATACAGAAATCCATCAATAGGAATAAAATGCTAATCTATATTTTTTGTCATATAATATATAATCCAGCAAAAAATCTAATTAATGATCATGCAAAACACCTCTCAGCCTGTTTCAGATTGGCATTTATTTCCAAATTTTAGCTAATATTGCATCAATTTCAGCTAATATTGAATTCATATCCATAGTTTGAGACTTTTTTGGATCAGGCTGAAGCGTAGGCAAAGAAGCCTGTGTTTGGGATTTTAGGTTATCACTTGTCTCAGGTTCAGATTCATGGTCAAATTTAGTACTGTTGTCTTCTAATTCTGTATTACCTATAGTATAATTATCGTCTACATCAAGACGGTCTGATTCTTATCTCATTGTAATTCTTGAAAGAAGTTTAAGATGTTGGAGTTGGATTTTTACCACTATAAACTCTGGACGCGTGTTTACTTTCATAATCTCTTAATTTTTCAGGTATAGTTCTATAAGGCTTTTGCTTTAAGAATTCGTTAAATAATCAAGTATTACGTATTTCACTTTCAGTATAGACAGGGTCACATAACTTTTTAGCCTTAATTGCATCTCAGATTCAGATGAGTAATTCCCTGATGCATTCTGGATTCTTTTTCATGAAAAGAAATGGTCAAAGCTCAGGATTTTCCTTTTTTTCTCCTCTACTATTTAGATAGCCTATGTAGTACCAAGAATAACCTTCTTTATACCATGCTAGAATGTTCAAAGAATCCAGTTCATAGTGATTAATTTGAAGAGATCTTACTTCTGCAGGTCTCATACTCAACATCACTATCACATCCGTGAGATTTTCTCTAGTAGAAATTTTAGAAATATTCATGTTCTGAATTCTTTTACTCACATTTGCTAAAGAGAAATGTATGGGAATTCTATCTAGATTAGCTATTCACTTTTTAGTTTATTCTTTCTGAATTTTATTAGAATCTTGGATAAGATCCTTATTTTTGACAAATTCTTCAATAATTGCAGAATCTACATCACCTTCTGCTAACTTTATACGGAATGTTGACTGACGCGAGATATCGATAATGATTTCATTTTCATCTTTATTTTTCAGACCTAAGTCTAGATGATGGGTGAAAATATCTATAGCATCACTGGCTGTAGCGCAGAATTCAGCCTTTTCCTCTATAGTGAGATTTTCTTTCTTTTATCCAGCATGAAAGCATCTATATTCTCTTTACTAAATAAACGTCTATTATTAGTACCATTGATAAGGGCAACTTTAACATACTTGTGGACCATCCAATTAGGAAGCAAAGCATCAAGTTCAGGAGCATATTTGCTTAATTATTCTGGAGTGGAGTTAGCTGACAAATTATGCTTTTCTAGAAATTACTTTAAGACCAATACAAAGTTATTAGCTTTAAGTTTTTAGATCTTTGAGGTAGCCATTTTGGTAGCCATGTCAATGATAAGTAGATTAGTAGAATTTTTTTGATATATGTACATTAAGAAAATCAAATCTTTAAAATAAAAAAGAATTCTCATTTCTTTAAAAGACATATGCCATATTTTCGAATATTTATCAGATTTATTTATAATAAAAATGAAGGAAAGTTTAACGTATATTAATCTTAATAACTTTTCCAAAAAGAAGTACTATAATCCTTGGTAGAAATACAGCTGATTCAGAAGACTCTAAAGAGATCCCTTCTAATTTACCATCTTGATTTTGCCAATATATCAAAAAAGATGAGTCATTTTGCGGGAAAAGATGCTTACGCAAGGCTGAATGTGTCAGACATTATAAGTTACTGCCTAAAAAAAGATGCGTATTCTGTAATAAGCTGACCTATTCCTAAACTGACTTTTGTACGGATCATGCCAAATCTGTTTATAAGAAAAACTGGCTAGAGAGGTATGAAAAAAATAAAGATGATTTAGCACTTATTAATTGATTGTAACTATATCAAAAAGTTTCTGAATTGATTCTAGAAAAATAATTTTATTATCTGTTTTTAGCCTATATGGTGAAAGTACTGATGCTCCTTTATCTCCAAAACCAGTACTATTATATGGTTAGCGATTAATTCAGTATGAGTATTACCAAACTTATTGTTCCTTAGACTCTATTCTTTTTTTATCACTTTTAATAGTATAGCCACACTAATTACCAGCAATTGTATTAATTACCTTTATAGCTGAATTAAGATCTTGTTGTCTTAGCATGAGACTTAAAGCCAAAGAATGATAAAGACTGATTTCAAATTTCTATAAATCTTTCACAGGATTATACGAATGCTTCTGATATAATATTACTAGGAAGAATACATTTATCATTAATACTGGTAAAGTCTAATATTTGAAAGAGTTCTCTTATAGCTTTCTAATGATTTGCTGAATAAGATTTATGCAAGTCTTCTGCTACTGATTTTTTCAGATTCTCTTCGGCTTTATGGCAGACCATTTTCTATTATATATTTTCTTAGCTTTCAATCCCTTCATTGCATTCTCCTCCTCATGACCTTATCTTTGAAAATAAGATAACCGTAAAAAATGCTTTTGAGCTTCAGGCAAACTAAAATTTTCAATAAATTTTTTATTGCAAATATTATTCTAATCCTCAATACTCATATCTTTACAATAAAGATTCCATATATAAAAATGTTTAAGTACCATAATATCTGCGATAGAGTACTCTTAGTCAAATTTAAGGACTTCAGCTTCTTCAAGGCTAAGATTTTAGGAAGTAACAACTGTATTAAAATCTATTTCTTTAATAACTAATTCTTCAACTCTAATCTTATTATAGATTCTTTTACAGTTTTCTATAACTTCTCAGCTTTCATCCATTTTTATTAGTTGAAGAGAAGCGCCAGTACTGGCTATAAGACTACAAAGCTTCTCAATAAAGTATCTTGCAGAAAGGCATTTCTGATGTTTAACTTCAATAAAAGTTATTATGGCTGAAGACTCATCAATTTTATAAGAAATGCTATTATTATTCTATTTACGATATTTTTTTATTGCTATAGGCAAATTATTAGGCTGAGTACTTTTAAGTTCTGCTCAAATATTTTCACAACCTGGTGGACAAAAAAGTTCATTAGAATTTTTCTGATAAAATAAAAACAATATGACGAGAGAATCACAAATTTAGTAAAGCATTTGTGCAAGAGCTTTAACATAAACTGGAGTAGCGATATTTGTAATAGCTATAACTATATCAAAGTGACCTGTAACCTCAAATGATATTCCCACCTCCACTATATTTGTATAAGCTATACAGTCAAATTCACTCCAAATGACATTAATATCAGAAAAGTCTTTTTGTTTCTGTTTTTCATCTATATTTTATAGTATGCACGGGCTCTAACAGATGAATTATCAGGTTTAAACAACTTAGATGCTTTTTCTATTGACGCTCTAACCATTATCGTTTTAGTAGATACAAATGTCACACGTTTATTTTACTTTAAAGGTCATATCCTATTTACATAGCTTCTGCTCTACTATTTAGATCATAAACAAATTCAACCGTCTTACTTATACGAGGCTGATACTTATTATCGACTACACGAATATTTTCACCATGATAAATCTGAAGGAGGGTTAGTGTTAAGATATTTGTGAAAGCATCTATGACCAAAATATGTCTTACAGATCTTAAGATATTATGCATTGCGTTTTCAGATTCCTGTGCATTTATACTGCTAGACATTTGGCATATAATGGTATTAGCTTCATTAAGAATAGTTACAAATAGACAGACTGTGAATTTGACACGAAAGAAGTTCTCAACCTGTATTATGATAATATCCCACTCATTTATAGATAAGTCTTCTTGCATGTTTTAGTAGTTGCAAATTTGAAAGCCAGATGCTTTTAATTTATTAAGTTTGGATTTTGATTCATTATTAAGAGACTTTCAGTAAAAGATCTAAATATAGCATAGTAAAGAAAAAATATTATGTACTTTATCTTTCAATGCTATTATAATCTTTCTTAATGCAGTAGTTTTTTTATATTCCTGAAGGAAAACAAATAAGTGTTGTTATTTTCTCAGTACTCAAGAAATCGGGATATGCTTCTAAAGAGTTCCTTAATTTTTTTACATTAATAATCATCTCTGATAATCTTATAAGAGAATGTGAATTTAATATAGCATTGCTTATTCTTTCAACTATTCCTCGCTTAGGTTTTATGGAAAATTTAGTTACTTTCTCAAATGTCAATCCTTTATGATCTAGTTTATATTGCTTTTACTGATAATATCTAAGCATAAAGCTCTCACTTCTAAGAAGAAAGCTATATAACTGGTCTTTTTCATGTTTAATATCGCAAATAGGGCATGCTTCCAATGACCAAGCTTGAAAGTTAACAAATCCCTTTCTAATATCGCCAACCTCAAGCTATCCATATTTTGTGATAATCAAGTTAGCTCTTACACTTAAGGTAGATTTATCTTCAATAGGTTGGAATTCCTCTTTTTCTGATTTTTCAGAGGAAAAGGTTCAGGATCAGATTTCAGAATAATTAGATTTAGGCTGAACTAAATAATTTTCTAGCTTGCAATATCCTTTCTTGATAGAAAAAATTACAGATCTTTTAACTTTATCTTCTTTTACTGATTCAAGAAGACGAAGGCTGAAATGAGATTTATAAAGTCCAATATCAATAAACTCTGAATATGACTTTTCAACCCTATCAGTGACTTTTTTCACAAAATTCTTAAGGTCTCTATAATCAATAAAATAAGCATAAGGATACACAATATACTAATTGCATTTATTAGCATTAGACAAACTGGTTAAAGCAAAAGCATTTAAAATTATAAAATGATTTAAATCAGTATATATAATATCAGCACAGGTAATTAAGATTTTGGATAATAAATCTTCGTGAGAAATTTTATATTCATCTAAAGAAGAGAGTTCAGGATTTATAGGATTGGGCTTTTGCTTCAAATAAATATCTAGAATCAGACAAAGAGGCAAATTCCCATCAATGCACTTATGGTAATCTATAAATTTTGAATGGATGATTGACTACTGTAAAACCCTTTTCTGCCACCTGAACTATATATTTATCAAAAATCTCTTCAGGATGATAGATGCCTAGAAGAGAGATATTATTTTATTATTAGACAAAAATTAAAAATATATATAATCATTATAACCAGGTATATAATCAAGGTTGACTAAACTAGAGAAGAGTCTGGTAGCTTCATTTATTGTATTAGGGTAAGGCCCAGTATTTTTTTGCATAAGTAGCATGATAAAAATAAACTTTTCAGTATAGATAAATAGAAAGTTTCTAGTATATATACACTAATAAAATTTCAAGTTTAAAATAAAAATTTTGGACGAATACGCTTGTTGATAAAATACTGGATCAGTAGTAGTACCTAGTGCTAAGCTAAAAGAAAGTAAATGATATGGTAGTATCTCAAAGTATCCCTTTATAACAACTATACAAGAAAGAGTTCTAGAAAAACAGAAGCGAAAAATAAAATATAAAATTGGTAGTAACCTAAGTTAGAATAATATATAGAAAGAAAATAAGAAATTACAACTTAGGATACTATCACTAATAGGCAGAAAAGAGGTCAAAAAAGCAGAAAATTTTAGGAAAATACATGAAAAAGTGATATGAAAACAATATAGTTTGAACTAATTCAACATTTTGTACTTTATCTTTGGCAATTAAAAGGATCACGAAAGGCAGAATTATAAGAATGGCACAAAATCAGCATTTTGCATATGTTTCACTGGCAATCAAAAAATGAGTAAATGGATTGCGACACATCTTTAGCAAATAAATGAATTGCAAATTCAGCACTTTGCATATGTACGTGATCACAGTGATGTACATTTTTGATGTTTCAGAGATTTATTGTCCCAGCTATATGTTCTAGCTATATGTTTCAACCTGTTTCACACTATGTCCCAAATGTTCTATCTGTTCCATCTATGTCCTATCAGTGTTTCATCAGTGTTTCATCAATGTCCCATGACAACACTAGGTGATCAGGTTTGACCAGGGCCCCTAGTTAAAATTTGCCAAGAAAATTTACATGATTTCAGCAACCTGAGGTCGCTCAAATTTTACCAAGAAAATTTATGAGAAACTGAAACACATGATTAATATATTAAAATACAGTAAATTTTAGCTAACACTATTCTATATTTTTTTTTAAAATTTTAAAACACAATAACTCAGCATCCAGACACCCGATCTATACGATCTTAGTATCATTAGAAAGCTCTTAATATTCTCATCCAAATAAGCTTAAAATTGCATAAATCTAATTGCAAATTTACTGTGCCACCCGATCACAACATGATTTTTAGCAATAAATGTCAGCTTAACATCTTGGTCACAAAAAGACCATAAAGTAATAAAAACAAGTGAATAGCTAGAAGAAAATAAAAAGAGAATAGAGTAATAAAATTAAGCAAATAACTACAAAGCAATAAAAAAACTATAGAACAATGAAATCAAATAGATAGCAATAAAGTAATAGTAAGGTCACAGAATGTTAAAAATAGTAACTAGTTAATATTATACTCATAATTAAATAACATTATAGTAGAACTGAATAACACTCTTATAAGATTATTATTCAATACTTAATTTAATTATACAATTATATTTAATTTCAAGAAATTTCTATTCTATTTAAACAAAATTATTAATCTATATTTTTTGCTAATTAAGATAAAATATAATTTAAAAAAACTATAAAAATATTGTAAACTTTATTAATAAGTTAAACTAAATAAATTAATTTACTATATTAATATAGATAACTTTGTTATAATCATTTTTATTATTATTTTTATAGTTTCAGTTATTTTGATTATCATGTTATAGTTAAGAAATTATAGTTTTATTTGACATTGATCTGCTAAATTATTTATTGTTTCTTCTACTTAAAATATTTTAACTATTAATCCTAGAAATATCATATTTATAATTGTTGAAAGTTCTAATTAAGATGGATTTAATAATAATATTTTTATTAAAATGTAATCATTAAAATAAATGTTATTTTGCTTTAATTAGTTTTAAATGAAATGTAGGACTATATATGATGAAAAATGTCACAATGTTTACCACTTAATAATTGAGTCAATGCTGATTGACTTTTGTAATTGTATAAATCCTAAATAAAAAAATATTAGTATAAATTTTTTTAGTTTAGATCATTTCAGATTTAATAACGGTTTCTATTTTCCTAATAATATTTTATCTTAATTTGATTAAAATTATATTTACTGTATATTAGAAAATAGAAATTTTGATAAATTCTGAATTCAATAATCACAAAAGAAAGAATTGATTAATTATCATATGAGCAGATAAAGAAATATAATTATCTTAAAAATACCTAAAAAAATTTTCTATCATATGATCCAAAATTATTTATCAACTGTATTACATATTTCGCGTTTTCCATTTTCATAAGTATTCTAAGGACTTGTCACACAATAACCACTACTTCCTTAGATTTAGGGTTAGGCCAGGGATTAGGGATTATGCATAATGCGGGCCAAAATCACGTGATCGAAGAAATTTCTGGGTAGTTAGAGAAACACACGGACTGAAAATTTTTCACATTGCGTAGCGTAAACTTATATTGTTCTTCGCTTTGCTCAGGATAAACTATTAATAAATATATTAAACCTATGATTTACTATTCTCATAACTTGATTGTACTGTCAACCATTCCCATATAATAAAATAAAAATAAAAATAAAAAAAGCCAATGTAATTATTCAAAAATTTACTAACAAATTTTCGATCCTTTTTGCCATTTTAAATTATTAATCTAATTAAAATAATATTAAATAGATTCAATTTTATTAAATAATTTTACTCTATATATGATATTATATTAATATTTGATCAACGAAATGTAGAATTTTCTATTTATTTTACTTTTATCTTATACAAATATTCGCAAAAGTAGCTTACAAGATTTATTTTTTTTATAAAAAAATACATGATTTATAATTATTGAGTTACATTAAAACCATTCCAAAGAGCAGTATATCCTTGAATATTTTTCGCAGCATCTTTTGGTTTAGAATAATATCTAGCAGCGTTTACCTACTGAAAATTTTATTTTAGAATCAAAGAAAAAAAAGGATTATTCGTCTTCGTAATAATAAATACCATTATCATCGATGTTGTAATATGAAGCTTCTCCTTTCTTTGGACATAATGTGTGATGAGAAGAAATTCTGATTTAATACTATTTGCAGGAAACTATAGAAATAAAAAAGGTTAAATCGAGGAATTAGTTATTAGATCTCATCGTTAATCTAAAGATCGACAATTTTAAATTCCGTTAGTTTCAGCAATAACTATTCTTTAATAATTAATTAGTTAGTGTTAGGAAAGAATCCTTACATTAAAAAAATAAATATATTCACCGTTCCATTCAGCTTTTGCCATTTTTATCGATTATTTAAAAATCCATATTTGGGAAGTTTTAAACTGACTTTATTAACCAAAACTAAAATCAAAAAATTTTTGTTTAAAAAATTCCCAGTTAATATCAATATTTGGGATTGGCAAATCTCGTGACAACGTGTCAAGTTTTTAATACGATTTCAAACATAAGATTCACAAAAGTTGCAAGATTACGCTCTTCCGGTTTCTTGTATTTAAAGTTTAGCATTAAATGTCATCCACTCCTTTGAATAATTTTTTGGAGAGAGATAATTCAGTAAGTAACACAAGTCAAATGCATCACAATATTATTTATTAGTTTTGCCGCAAAAATGTTGTCTCAAAGCAGAATTAATCCTTTCATGATGTAATAAAATGGCACGTTTAAAATCTGTGCTTGAATTAAATTTTTTTTTTTTTTTCGTTTGTAATACGATGAATTACACATATTGTTTCTTAGATTCACCAAATCACAAGTTCGGTCATCCCCTTTTACTCCCCTAAAGATAACGATACACCGCAAATTATACTTGAATTATGATTAAATCTCAATTTCTTTAAGGATCCCTAGGAGAAAATCTATATGTCATATGCTCTGATTTTCTGAAAAAGTCGTCATTGTTTATCTTCCACAGATTTAAACACTTTTTTTTTAAAAAAAAAAAAAAAAGAAAAAAAAAAAAAATACTCGAAACTAATAAAAATTGCTTAATTTGTGAACAATCGGCTTCTTTCTGAATTTTAAAGATTAAACAATTTGAAATTTGATTAAAAAAAAATTTAATAAATCCAATCTTGGAAATCTTAAAAAAAAAAAAAAATTTTTTTAGGGAGGATTTATTTGGCATGAATTACATGAATTATTAATGTTTGTTACATTTAAACAGCCATAATAATTCTTTAAAGTTTATGATTAAAAGCGGGTACAATATTTTTTTTTTTTTTTTTTTTTAAAACTATAAAAACTAATATAAAAGTAAAAAGATAACATGCATATTTATAAATACAAAAACCATCTTAATTATATTCTCTTACAATTAAAAAGTTCAAAAATATATTTCAAAAATAATTATTCCTTGTTTCAGAATGAATTTTCTTTCAAAACGGCAAAAAGAGATGCAAAACTAAACAATTTTGTGTAATGTCAGAGGACAAAACCAACCAGGGAGAAAAATAAACAAAGAACAAATAATTGATCACTCACATCCACTCACATTGTATTATTTTCAAAAGGGTTGTGATGGTGTGATGTTAACCATACTAACTATGAAATTGCGAAATTCAACAACGTTTCTCTGCGTATGGTCGTATATTTCTTTATTGTCTGGCAAAGAAATTATATCAAAGAAGGAAAAAAAATTAGTGTAACAAATTTTATCTAAATTCGGAAATTGGTAATTTTGAAAATAAAAAGAAGGGTAGACAATACGATGATTTTATTGTGATATATATCACGTGCATACAGTAACAAATGGAATGCACTGCGGAACATCCCGAAAGACATAACCAAATATGTTTCGAAAGAAATCGTTCGTAAATGAAAACCTTGTGGTAATGACATTTGATATTCCCTTTGATGATAAGGTTCGATTGTTGTAAGTCGTGATAGTATGACAGACAACAATATATGTTCAGGTAGCACACACATGTAAACAAAATTATTTGTTTCCCTTGCGAAGGAATAAATGTTGGTCCTTCTTAAAAGAATATTACAGGTGATATAATAATAATGTGATGAGTATCTGCAATTGCATAAGAACGCACGCGATACTTTCATTTTTAACATTTATGTCAATCCATTCATTCGGTGTAAAATCTTTTTTGGAATTAGTAACTTAAATGACGATGTATGCATGTATGCATATGTTATGCATTTAACTGCATTTAAAGAAATCACTTATAAGGGTAAATAAGGGATATATCAAGCAAATAAACAATTATGGCCGATAAGTAAACCTTACCAAGAAATCTGATGTGGGGAATATTAATTAATTGAGTGAAGGAATATTTTTTTTTTTTCCTTCACTAGTTGAACTATTGTTAGATTTTATCTTTTTTGATCAAGTATATATAGATTATACACGTACGATGACTCTCTCGGGTTTTGACGGCGTGGTATATTGATCAAATTTTTCGATTCAACAAAATAACAAGTAAACAAGATCTACATTACAAATTGATCACACAAAAATAAATTATTCTGTGTAAACTACCACTAAAAATTATTTTAATCATTATTATGTTATATAATTGGCTAATTGAATTGAGATATCATGCATTAAATAATTTATATACGAAATATAAATAATCATTCTATAAATAAGCCTCAAAAAATTTTTTTTTTCGATGGTTTTTTTTTTTAAAAAAAAAACAGGGAATATTCCTGAAAATTAAAAAAGTGGCATAACATTCGGTTATAAAAATTTGATCTCCTTGTTTCTAGAATATAATTGTCTTTTTATAAAACCATTCTTACCAAAAGTTTATCATAACGGGTTTTCAAACAAATATCCCTTAATATGATCACAATACAGTTATTAACATATTATTAACAGGTTATTTATTTATTTATTCTATATTATAAAATTTATAATATAAATATTAGATCCTTTTTCTTTTTTTTTTTGATAAAAAAAAATCACCAAAAAAAAAAAAAAAAAAAATTTTTTTTCTTGTATTATATATCTTTTTTTACTTCCGAATACGATGACATCTATATCATCATTTCATTATGTTGAATTGAAAGCAGTTCATTCGTCTTCTTCGTCGTCATCTCTTTCATCCTCTTCCTCTTCTTCCTCTTTGGATAACGAAAAAAGCCCAATATGTAAAGCATCAAATTCTTGTATTGAAAAATCGTCTTCAGAAAAACTTCAACAAAGAAGGAAGAAGAAAAAAAATACTCGTAATACAGTATATTTACCTTTGAAATTACCGGATTTTCCTGTTAAAACTCAATGTCCAAATTGTAGTAAATTTGTTGAAACTCGTATAAAATATCAAAATGGTACTTGCGTTTACATTTTTGCTATGGGTCTATTTGTGCTTACTGTTGTATTGTTTTGGGTCCCTTTCTTCATGGACATCTGTAAAGGTAAGGATCGAAACAAAATAAAGGTTTCCTTTTTTTGTTTTTTTTTTTTTTTTTTAAAAAAAAAAAAAAAGATTAATAATAATTTATTATTTTTTTTTTGTAGATGTAACGCATTTTTGTCCAAATTGCAAATGTACTCTTGGAACAAGAAGAAGAATCTAAGCAAAATATCTTATCCAACATTTTAATAATCAATTTATTTTAATACAACTTATTATATAAATAATATCTAATCGAATTACGTCTTTACATCTTTACAACTTAATCATTTAAAACAACATTATACCAAAAATTTTAAAAAAATATTTTTGTTTTTTTTAAAAAACAAGCAAACTCCATTCCTTCCTTTCTACAATCAAAAATTCTATGACAATTCTTACAAAAAACTAACGCGCCAATCAACTTTTATTAAAACATTGCAACACAATTACGCGAGTGAAGCATTTTTCAGCATTTTAATCATCAAGTTATCTCGTCTAATTAGACATTCACCCTTACATTTTCATTAAATTCAACACTCATTACCTACACCATCGAAATATTTATATTGCATAGTCTCCACACCAAAATTTAATTAAGACTTTTTGTTTAAGAAAATTTTTTCAACTTAACATCGGTAATATTAGTATAATAACTTTTTAAATTCTTTATATTAAAAGAAAATTTGAATTTAGGATATGGAGAAGAAATTATATTTATGGGAGGACAATTCTATATAGAATTTTTTTTATAATCAAAAAAAAAAAAAACTTTTATACACAAAAAAAAAAAAAAGCGTTACAATAATACGCGTAAAACTTTGTTAAATAATTATAATGTTTATAGTATTAAAAAAAAAAATTAGAACTTTTAGTAAATAGTAGTTAATTTATTTAGTTATTTATTTGTACATTCTTTAAAAACTATTAGTTATTTAGATTAATATTATTATTTTATTAACTTATTCATTCATTTTACTCAACTTTATTTTTTTTTTTAAAAAAAAAAAAAAAATATGTATATATACATATATATATACATATGTATTATGTATAAGTAAATGAAATGAATGCTAAGAAAATGAATTAATTTTAATTTATCATATGGTCTTTTGTTTTCTAGCATTTTTTAAACTTTACTTATCAAAAAAAATTTTAAACTTTAAATTTAAATAAAATTTTATATATTAAATTCTTATTTATTAATTATTTTATTTTAATTTATTAAATTAAAATCAAATTATTTAATATAAGTACTTATTAAAAATAAGTATTCTTATAACTTTTATTATATTATTTATATAAACTAAAAATTGTATCTTTAAAAAATTATCCTTTTATATTAGTAATATTTTCTAATAACATAATAATTTTAATTAAAAAAATGTTTTTACTAGAAAATTATACATTTAACTATATTTTTAATTTGCTAAATATTATTATATTCTTATATAATTAACAATTATTAAATTTTTTAATGATAAAATTTTTTTGTAAATTAATTTTAAAAATCTAACTTGTAATTTTTTTTTAAATAATTTTAATATATTATTATAATAAAATAAAAAATCTAAATTATTTAATAAATACTAATCATTTAATAATTTATTGATAAATAATTTGATTTTAAATAATCATAAAATAAAATTGATTAAAAGTTTTAGATAATACAGAAACCTCTGAATGTGAATTAAAATTATATGTTTTAAATGATTTTGAATGAAATTTATTAAAAGAAATAGAAAATTTATTAGAGATAAAAAATAATATAATTAATTATATTATAATATTTTTTTTTAATTAATTTATTAAATTTATGATATTTTATACAAATAATAAAAAAATTTTATATAAATTTTTTTTTTTTTTTTTTTTTAAAGTTGCAGTACCGGTACAAGGGGTCAAACGGATATTTAAGGTGGTAAACCATA